TATCCTGTCATTTTTGGGGTTGTATCCAAGTCACTGAGTTAGACAACCTTTTATTAACGATTATGGCTACACCGTTTCTTCTGTGATTTTCCTGTCCACAATAGAATATGTGGTAATCATCTGATATGAAATGACCCATTCCTGTCCATTTCAATTCACTAATTCCGGGAATGTCGATGTTCATTCTTGACATTTCTCCTTTGACAACGTCAAGTTCACCTTGGTTCATCGTTATGATGTTCCAAGTTCCGATTGTATGCGGCTTTTTACAGCATTGAACTTCCCTTTTGGCACTAGATGTGCCAGTAACTGGACGTCCTTTCGTCTTTGTTCCAGCCACGTCATAAATAATTCTAGCGCTACTCGTACTTGTTCTTTGCTCTTCTCCAGTAGCTGGTCGAGTACTTTTCGACCTGAGGGTCTCATCTTCTAGTACTATGTTGAGATTATCCTGGTTGTAATTGTCCATTTGGTTTTCTTGGCATGATACTGGAGTGGGCTGCCATTTCCTTCTCCAGTGGGTCATATTTAGTCTGATCTCTCGGTTGTGTCCTGTCCGTCATGGGTGACCCTGCCGTGAGTGAGCACTCCCCACGGTTTAGTTCACAACATCATCGAGATACGCAAGCCCCTTCACCACGACAAGGTAACGATCCGCGAAGGAGAACAATTAACTATATTATCTCAAATGAAAGTGAGATTCATTCGTAATTTTAAGTAACAGCAACATATGTAGGAAGTAGAATTTATTTTTTCGTTTGTTATTTTATTCACCACGTGACTACGTTTATTGCAAACAGTAGGAGGAAAAATCAAACTAACAATGCCAATTTATTTTGTTCGTTCTTTTTCAAAAACAAAAGAGACGCTTGACATTCGAGTCTTCATACAGACGAAAATCAAACAAGAGTTCACTTTTTAATGAAGTATCAATAGCTACAAATCTAGATGTTGTTTGTTTTCTAAAAATTGTTGCTCTTTCTGATTTAAATGTTCAGACTTTCTTATGAATCTACACTGTATATGAGCTCAAGTCCTTGCTTTTCTTTGCTAAAGAGCATATATTCTGATCTTCACCAAGCTGTCGATGACTTGTAGGTATCTCCTAGTATCTTCGCATATTTAGAATTTCTTGCGTTGATACTAATTTCATATCTTTTAAAAACAAATATATAGTATCTCGTTCATAACTTTTGAAAAATTGAAAACTGATGTTTGAAGTGTTTGTCATCTAGAACTGTGACTACATTATCTACGTGGTTGTAAATGTCATCGCCTATATTTGATTTTTGAATATGCCTTCGTTCTATTGCTTATACACATATTATTCAGCACGTGCTGTGTGGAGTTGATCGAAGTTATAGAAATTAAAATAATTTTCTTTTTAGCCAAAACAATGAGAATACCAGGAGAGTAATTTTCGTCATAAATAATCATGCAAAGAATCCACTGGGATTCATGTATCTAACGTTATGTCCTAATTCATCGTTTTATTACACGCGAGATATTAACACGAAGCAAAGACAAACAAGTCCATGAGATGCTTAATTCGAATTCGAATATAAATGAAGGTTCAACTACACAAATTCGATTCGAAAATAAAAAATCCAGCACCAATATAGTCAAAGGAAAAAGTAAAAGATAAAATTTATCCTAAATATAAATTTTATAATTCGAACTGAGGCAGCACTGATTGGCGTTGCAGACACTACAAATGTTAAAATATGCTTGGTCTACTACTAAGCCAGGTAAAAAGTTATCGCTTAGTAAAACTTTGAATATTCAACAACAACAATCCTGACAGTCGTCTAACAGAATATGGAAACTGTTTAGTAATGGCTAACTGCTACATGTTGTTAACATCCACACGTCGACTTCTGTCACGTTGGAGACACCTAGGTCTACGACCTCTGTCACATCATGCAGACCTTTATCTAAGTGTCGCGGCGTGGGGCCGCGCAGCGTCCCCCGCAGAGCCGCGACGAAAAAACGTCTCTGTGTACACAATTTTCCATACATATCGAACTTGAAACTTGAATTTAACTGAAACTTCAAGTTTCAAGTTTCAATTTCTCGAAATGAGGTTTTGGTTACTCAATATGTCAAGAAGTATTCATTCAATCCAATTGAAATTTTCTACAGAATTACATGCCACCAAGGTCCATACTATAATTCAATTTCAGCTTTAACAATTGTACTCTTGCCATTCTCTGCATCGCACGGATGCAGGGAAAATTCAGACTTTTCCCAATATTTGTCACTTCAGTTCTCCTCACTGTATGACATCATCCGTCTGAAACTTACTCCTAAAACACGTCTTGGCAACACATTGCCATATTCACAGTTCCGACGTATTTGATGAGAATTTAACGGACACTAACCACGGTGAAGGGTGTGGGTGCCGCGAAAGGCTAAAAAAACCGACTTCAAACTTTAAGCTTCAAAGTTGAAACTTGAAAGCCGAAGTTTCAGTTGAATTCAACTTTCAAGTTCGACACTACTACAATGACCATACCCACACAGAAACTGCACTAGACAGTTACGCCCTCTTCCTGACAACATGCAACTCTAAATTCATGAATCAATCGAATTATAAAATTTATATTTTGGATAAATTTTAAACTTTATCTTTTGCTTGTGCGCAATAGGATTTTCGGAAATTTTCATTCATATTCGAACTCGAATTAGGCAGCTACTCAACAGGTCTTGATAAATTTCTTTGTTTAAATATTCTCACTTCATATTTTCACTTACTGTTCAATGAAGAATGAAAATAGAAAAGAAAAAAGAACGATGGTATCGATAATAAAATTCCATTAGTGTGTTTTTGTTTTTCATAGTTACATTTTAAGAAGAAAGAAGCAAAACTCTGGTTCCCAGGTCGAACATTTTGGCCACCGGATCCCGTAGGATACTCCAGGGAATATGCGGGAAAGTCACCATNTCACTGGCGGCGTACCAGGATATCTCCTTTATCTCTCTCTCTCTCTCTCGCTATATATATATATTTTTTTTTCCCTCAATGTCGAGACTGAAGTTCATTGATTCAAGTTTAAGAGAAATGAAAAGTGCATCACAATTTTAATCGAGTTCTTCATTTTGATACGATTTAAACTCAGTCTTCGTTAAGCGCTGTTCACTTAAAAGCATACACATGTGGCAGGCGAGTTTGGAATTTAGTTGAGTTTGGAATAGCTTTTTCTTAATTTTTTTAATAGAATTTTTGTTGAGATCTGCCTTTAGAAAATTTTGTATTGATAATTATTCCTTCCATCTTTTTACAAGGCTTTCATATAAATTCAACTCTCTGTAAATTTGTTAAGCAATGGGGACATGGGGACATTGAATTTATCTGAGAAAAATAAATTTTGTATTTTTATTTCTCAATGATAAATTCACTATCTCTGTATTTTTCAAACTATGGGGACATGGGGACATTGAATTTATCTGAGAAAAATAAATAATTTTATTTATACAACTTTTATAAATCAAATATAAAAATGTACAAAACATCCTTGTAATACCATCTGATGGTTAATTCAGAGGAGATTAATTATATTATGACTCATATCGATAGAATTTAAATAAAACAAAAATGTTATTATTATTATTATACGTAAAGCACAAGGTAATCATTTACTTATAATTTCTTTCATTCATTCTATTGAATTTAATAGTAAAATCTTTTTTCCTTTTAAATATATTTTATTTTATGAAACACGAGCAGGAAAAAAAAGAAATTCAAATAGTTTTATTTCGCGCATTCCAATCTCAACTGAAATTCTCATGTCAACTGTGCCATATATATATTATATATCAAGAGAATGACATCATTCATTTCTGTGACATTCTGTTCTCTCTGCGATTGCAACTAAAATTTGTCTATAGGTTTTCTGTAGCCCGGTACGACTCTAAAACATGACACATTATCTCCAAAACAAAAACATACCAATGATATGTCTGCTGTATGTATTGGTACTCTCATTCTTCATTGGCATTACTGGTACCTTGGCAGAATGTGACTCAAATCAGTGTACAAATGATATTAGTCCTACTTCGGTCACTGTTTTCCCAGTAATCAGTACAGGCGTTGATATAGAACTTACTGGTCAACCTTTTATTCACGCACAACTACTCAAAGAACTGTTGCTCAGTATCAAATTGGACGAAAAAGCATCCAAAAGCGATTTCGTTCATTTTTTCAAAGAAAACAGTGAAATAATTACCAGCAATGATGTAGCCGCCGTGGCTAGATTTGACCGTGAGTACAACAAACATTCAGCTGCGTGGTGGTATACGTATCCTAGTTTTATAAATGTTATTCTCAACTAGGCTCTACGCACTCAGGACGTTATTAATCTGTTGCGTATGGGGTTTCTCATTCAAAAGCTGCACCGACAATTGGAACACCTCAGTCAGAATGTAGATGAAGTGACGAGTAGTTTCATAGTGTATCGTGGTCAAGGTTTGAGCTATGATGACTATGAAAAACTAAAAAACGCCGCCAATGAAGCATTACTAGCTTTCAATACGTTTCTCTCAGCGAACACGAATCATGAAGCAGCTGCCAACAATGCTCGGCAAGCAGTGCGCAATGGGTTCGAAACTGCTGTTATATTCTCGATAACGATCGAGTCTTCGAATGATGTCTCAATCCCATTTGCTTGTATCGATGATCATGGTTACTTCGAGAACACTGAGAATGAATACATATTTTCCATAAACACTGTTTTTCGCATCGAGAAAGTGGAGAAATTGGCTGGTAAAAGCGGCGTATTGCTCGTGAGATTGCGTCCGACAAACATTCGTGATAAACAACTACGATATCTTATAGAACAACACGTAAACAAATCCTAGGATCAACGAATATGTTTCAACTAGCCAAACTAATGATTCTCATGAAACAATATTCGACGGCTGAAACGATCTACAGTCGTCTACTCAATGAAACACAGGAAACGGAGCTCGCGTCCATTGAAAATATCCATTATCAACTCGCCGTGATTCGAGAGAACACTGACAATATTTCTGGAGCTTTTTCTGCATATGAACATGCATTGGAGATCGCTATGCAACATCGACAAGCGAATGATTCGATAATTCCACTTTTCTTATCCAAAATAGCCAATCTTCTAAAACGTCAGGAGAAATTTGACGCAGCTCTAGAGAAGTATCAAGAAGCACTGCAGTTAGATCTGCAAATATCTGAGCCTAACTATCGGCAACGATCGAAACTGTATAATGATATCGGTGTTGTACTAGCTGCACAAGAGAAATACAATGAGTCCTTACAGTATCAAGAGCAATCGCTTGCTATTGACTTCGATCAAATGCCTCTCGACCATATAAATATTGCGATTAGTTATGAGAATATGGTCTCAGTTCACCAAAAGATGCAAAACTATGTCATGGCACTTCTGTGTTGCGAGAAAGCGCTTTTTCACCGTCAACAGGTCAATTCAAAGCAATGGACAGTAATATTGCACGATCATTACATCAGTGCACTAATGCTCAAAGAACTCAATCGTATAGATGAGGTCGTGCAACATACCCATGTGTTTCATTACGATGAAACTGCGGCGCAGTTACGCCGTAACTGCGATCGCACTGTGACCCGTAATTGCGGAAAATTGCGACGTAGTTACGCGCAACTACGATGAAAAAATCGCNAATTGTTATTGCGGTATTGCGGTATTGCGGTATAAGCATTTTGATTTTGCCGCAAAATCAAATTCCCCACCAACTCATGAATCAGAATAAATGTTGACAAAAAAATTAATTCTGAGAAACTTTTACTGATTCATTTTTGTCACTGTCATATAACCAAAAATAACGGGTGTCTCATAGAGAACTAGGCCGTTAGTACTTTCGAAATATCTCTTCTACTATCCCCATGATGAGTGTGTGTGTGGGTGTTCTATTAATTACCACATCCATACTCACCCAGATTCAGATCGAGATCCAAAATACAGACGTAAAAACGTATCTATAAATAAAGAGATAGTAGTTTATGCTGTACACTCTAGACCTATATAATAAAATAAAACAAGAATGAAAAACAAGAATACAAATTATAAATAAGAATAACCACTAAAGATAACTATTCATCTTAGTTCAGTAACAAAAAAATGTACATTAAAGAAACGAAGGTAAAACAAAAGATAAGTCACCTAGAACCATTATCATATATCCAACGGTATAATTCATTTTGATGACAACATTGATTTGTGCCTGAACAGTGATAAAAATACTGAAGAGAGGAGAAATAATTAAATAACTCACATTTAACGGCTTCAGCGCCACCTACTATTGCAATTGAAAATTATTTTTCGTTTTTGTGCACTTCGATGGCATCGCCAACATCAATAATTAATTTAGTTCGAATGCAACGGCGCTTACTTTCATGATCATTCCTCGATTCAAATGCTTTGCCAACAACGCGGTGACATCATTCACTGAAATAGAATAAAAAGAAGAAATATGTTAAGTGAAACGAACAAATCTATAGTTGTTAAATGCGTATGTCATCAATCAATAGTAAACGTACATTCATTATTTTGTCCAATGTTTCAATTATCAACCGAGAGTGACCATTTGTTTGCACAACATAAGCAGCGGAATAACCTCGTTCACATTCAGCAGAGTTAGTTGCCGACAGTAAATAAATTGGCAAGGGTACTAATACATTTTTATATTCTTCAAAAAAGTGTCTATTTGTTGCTTGCTTGAGCAAAATAAACGATTTCCAAAGTTGTTTCCGAGTGTGAGCGGTTGAATGATTCAAAAAATCCCGGCAATGATGCTTTGTACTGTTCCCTGTCAATTATTAATGTATTTTTCTCGCATATAACCCAATGCTATCCATCCTCATTATGGCGTAGCAACATGTTCTTCATGTGTCATAAGATAATTGGAATCAAATAATAATGATAAATTCACATTTAAATAACATCATACACATTCATTTTGAATACTTGTGATTGTCGCCGATAGATAACAATGAGTCATACATTCTAGTAATGGTAAGTTGGCAGCATATTCTTTCCAAAAATTTATTGAGTTTACGAACTGACGATCGATAAAACTGAAATATTCAAGCGCATTGTATAATATTATCTTCATGTTACAAAATTCTATGTTTTCTAACTTGAGAAGTTTGTGATGACATTCGAAACAGGAAGATCTATCTCTGTATCGATCTGTAGAAATAATACTACGGATAAAAGTATCTTCGAATTCTTTTTTGTGACCTACAACAATTTTTTCACCAAACAGATTAAATAGTTAATGAATTTCGAAAATTTTCCTAAGGAAATCAACTCGTATGTACGCATATTAAAATAAATGAATTGTTAATAAATTACCAGCATCTGTTGGCTGTATCAAAAGATAAGATATCTTATTTTACAGTTTTTGTTAAACAGTGTTGAAAGACTTGCATTGAGTGCAAAGGAGAATCGATTTTCCAATTCGATATACTTGAATAAGGTATCAAGTACTACTCTCACAATCTCTACGATTGTACCGAACTTTTCAAAAACCTTTAGTAAAGACTTTTTTGTATACATGATCTAATTTGAGAATCAGCTTAAAAGGATTAAACTTCTGACCATTTGTATTTATATCTAACTCGCAGGACAATCGACTAAATTTTCAAAACACTTCCTTGAATAGAAATTCTAATTATACTGCCTATAAGGATATATATTTTGTGTACTTACAACTTAGTTGCTATAAACGAGAGTAGAGTTTTATTTCATGTTGAATACTAGTTGTTGTTTTTTTCTATTTCTGGTTGTAAATCCTCATCATACTTTGTAAACGTTGCTCAATTTCATTGTTTGTCGACTATCTGATGATGATAATGATGAAGATTCAAATTTATTTTCGTAAAATTAAGATACATTCTTTTTCAATAATAATTTTCTCTGCCTTGGCCAGAGCTAAGAAACCCTTTGGATTAAAATACCCAAACAGCTGCAATGATTTTCGACTACGAAAAAACCAGTTCAAATATATTACCTATGCTAAACGTGTTAGATTGATCCATATCACCAAACATATAATATCGAAATTTTATAAGTAAATTACTATTGTTTTCGACGACTTTAATAGAGGATTATTTTCTGTTTTTTATATTGAAAAAGATGTAGGACATGCCTAACTAAGTAATGTATATTAGATATATATTATAAGCTGGAGCTATATCTTTATAACTATATGAAAACTGAATGATTATCTAAAATAAGTTTTGGCCAGATTAGATAAAAGTAAAAAAATTGGTAAATTCATTAACTATACTAGATAGTTGGATGGGAGGGTGTAGACAAAGATCTAATTGTTACTCTTCTCTTAACCAACACCGACAATGGTATCCCACACCTGTAACGATAAATATGGGACCCTGTTTTGTGGTTGGTATATTAAGACAAACTGAATAGATGTGGAGTAGCTTACCGCCACTCTCGGCAATGATGTTTATTCGCTTCTTCACATATCCAGAATGTAACAACTTTATACATAACACACGTATATATAGGAGAGAGATAGACGAGAGACAGGAAAGAGATGTATTATAACAATGGAAAGAGAACATAAGGAAGAGGAAAGAGAATCATCGAAGTGTGTCATAAATATCGACACAGCACCCACACCCACACCCACACCCAAAATAAAATTGACAATAGTTCTTCTGGAAATAAAGCGAAGTTTATTTTATTTATAATAATTTATTAATTATCGTTATTTGGACGGAATGGTACTGCTTTAGAATCTTTTTGTTCAACGTCATTGACAATTTTTCGAATACTATCTTTCGGTATAGCAAACCAAATAAAATCTTTATATTCATCTGGAATATTTAATGGTGGATCATTTCGAAAATCAATATTTTCATAAACATATTTTGGTATTTTGTTTGCGATCAGTCTAGCTTCCTCGATCGGATCATTCGAAGATATATTGGTAATGAGGGGAGGCGTATCTGAATTCTATATGAGAAAATATCA